TACACATTAAAAATTATGTCTTACCACTGCTTAAAACTAATGTTTCGCAATGTAATGAAATGTTTTACCTTTAATTATTTTAATAAGTAAATTAATAATTTTTTTAATAGGTTGGTGACCTCTTTTAACCTTGCATTTGCCCGTCCACATAGACTACAGATCTGTGCGTCGAACGTATCCAGCAAAGCAAGGGGTAAGCCTTTGAGGTTGGTAGGACTCCCTTGGTCTGGGGATTGTGCGATATAGCCTTTGACTGTGTGCCTCACAAGACACTTGTCAGTGGTAAACTCGGACACCATGGTATAACAGGTACTGCTCTTAACACCTTGCAGTCGTAGCTGAGAAACAGGAAGCAGGTAGTGGAGGTTGAAGGTGCTCACTCAGATGAGCTTAATTTGCAGCACGGGGTTCCTGCTCATGGGGTTAATGCTTGGTTCCCTTCTTTGTTATCCTTGTCAATGATATAGATCTTCAGGGCTGCTCACTTTTATATGACACTACCCTGCTATATAAATACCACAGCAAGCCTCGATTCTCTTCAACTAACATTCTCACCATCTTTAGTCGGTCAGCATTGGCGATTTTATCCAGCGTGATACAGTACACCAGCACAACACTAAAGGAGCTTTCGATCTGAATGTACCAAGATGCTGACTAGCTAAGTCATTGAACAGCTTCCCAATTCTGGCAGTGAGACTTCTCAATAAACTCCGAGTTGAAGTTAGTAAAGCAGGCGAACAATGCCCAATTTAAAAGATTTGTAAAAGACAGACTCTTGGCCCTATTTGGTGTAGACAAGTTTATGAGGGAACCTTGGACAGGAGTCATCCGCAATCCAGATAGCCTATATGCAGTTGACACAGCTATCTAGATCATCTGGTCATTGGCAACTCAGTGGTAAAAGGTAAAATTATATGCGCTCTTTCTGGGTCACCCACCACCGACATTAAGCTTTTATCCATGTTCCTATGACTTTCAAGCTTCAAAATTTATTTATCTAGTTACCCGGCACGCGTTGCTGCGCTAAGAACTATAGTTTTAAATGTTAAATTGTTCTTTACGATGAATAAAAAAAAACTATTATTATTCACTTAATTTATGTTAGATTGTGTGGATAGAACAAAAGATAAAAATGTTTAGTCATTGCCATCCCTTTTATTGCTTATAATACTTTGATAAAGGTTTTTACTTGGTACGTTTACATATTTAATAGTGGAGAATTTAAAATTTGTTGAGTGCACAGGTGTAGTGCGGAAGGGGTTGATTTAGACCAACCCAAAAGTAAAAAAGTTTTCTTTGTTGCATTCTGTGAAAACAGTGTAGCACTATTTAAAATTTTTACTAATGCAGAATGATGTGATTATTCAAACCTGCAAAACAGTGAGTGAAAGTAAACATCTGCTTTTAATTTATATTTATTTGTAACATTGTAATTCCAAAATTCTGACATTGGACGCCTTAAAACCCTCTGGGGTGGAGCCCTTTTGATGGATCTGCACCAAACTTCACACAAACCATCCTTGAATAATGCTTAATAATGCCTGAAAGTTTCATTACAAACTGTTGAGCGGTACATAGGCTATAAACATACATACATACTTCCTCTTTTATAGATATAGATATTATTACAAGAAGGGGATCTTTAGGATTTTTGTGTGCAACAGATCAACCACTATATATTTATTTTTATAGGCATATTGGGTATAAATTTAAAGCTCTTATTCTCTAGATGTGCCTTTCGGGTTTGGATGATATCGCGAGAAAGCCCTTCGTCCTATAGGCTTTTAAAATTTCATAGTTTGTGTTTGTGCTGAATTATGTTGTCAATCATCTGAACTTTTTCAAGTTTTCATTTGTTTACATCCTAACAGATGACCATGATACAATTAATTTTGGTTACATCCATACGAAAATGGGGTTATCTGTAGTTGGTGATGTTTCAGTGAATTTAAGTGAAATGTTGTACGTTAATACAAGAGGTTCTACCCGCGAATTCACGGGTGTACAGAAACCACCATTAAATTAATTTTATCAAATTTGCCTTTATATTTCATTTAAAAGGCTCAAGTTCGAGAAATTGTCATCTGAAAGCATGTTAAAAGCAGTGGAACCTTCATACCTTATAAGGTGGCCGAAGTGGGTACGGTTTGTACAGTACCTGAACTCGCCTCTCTCTTTTCACGACGTCTTCAAAACTTTACTTAAATACTTTTCAATAAACTGGCTACCTATTAAAGATCCGTGACAACCTCTTGGAACGAACAACATACATGGTTTGTTAATCTCATATTCATAGTGTTTCGAACATTTTTAATCACTCACTTCTGTCAAACAGCTAGAAATAGCTTCAGAGTCCATTCACCGCACCTCTTTTAAGAACATAATAAAATAAGTAAACAAAAATGTAAACAAACAAACTATACTGTCAATTGCATTGACCAGCTGTTGTTCACTAAATTAATCGAATACCGTTATCTTCCATAACATGCATGACCTTTGGAAATCAGCCTGTGGGGCAGATCCCTTAGGGAGTTCGTCCACATCAATACTTTTCGGCAAATCTACACACTCTAAGCTTCATTTTGATATGCTATATGCCTCTATATTTTTATTTGGTAAATGGCCTTAACCACTTTAATAATATAACAAGGGACTATTTCAAAAAAGTAAGGCCGGTTTGCAAATCTACGCGACACGCTCTTTCCAATCAGACGTCAATGGATAAAATCTGTCAAGAAATGGCGGAGGAGTTCAACCGACAAAGTTTCATGTTGCGTATTAATTATATAGATAGATTGTGTTGTGATGGGATTTTGTATTTTCACAGTATGTTTTATTGATGTTTTAGTGGATTTAAGTAAAATAGAGATTTGTGTAAAATGTTAAGAAGAAAATGAATTGAGCTAGCTTTTCTATTTTCATTGAATGTTTCATTAGTATTTGTAATTTTTAAAGATGCCTCAAAGAGATCGCGCACGCAATGAAAATAATATTGATATGATGAGACATAATCGTCTTCACCCTTATCAACTATATGTCAAATATATCACCAATTTCGAAGTCATGAAGTGACGCAGGCTGCTATTCATTATTTATTTTCAGAATGGTTGACTTCAAAAAGCAAAACTTCAAAAGCTTAAGGCTGTCGTGGGGCTATGGGGAGGGTTCGTTCGACGGAGCTCTCAGATCCAGCAGGATAGCCTGTGCTCGGTATGACGGTATGAGGCTTCGAATCACCCGACATATATGGGAATTCCATAATCGCCGAGGTGGGCATGGGAAAGAGGGTGATATAACATTATTACCCAAACGCTTTGCTGTCAATTTGTCCCTCGAAGAAATAAAGAAGATATCCATAATCGATCTGTCCACACTACACTACTCGGTAGTGTGTGACAACAGGACTGAATTTGACCTGGCCCGGTCTAGCTTCGCAGGGACAGCCATGCGAACAATTTCGAGGTAGCGACAATAGGACTGAGAGAAATCTCCCTCAACGCGTCGGTTTCATCCCGTTCTCCCGCGACCAGCTCCCTTCTCCTTATCCACATACACACAGGCTAGAGAACTGATAACCTAATGAAGTCGTTTACTAAATCGCTGGGGAGTGTAGGGGCCCCGGCCACTGGTCATAAATTCAGGGGCCATACATTTTTAAAATCTAACCTAATATCCTAACCAAACTTCTATATGCGGATTAGAGCCAGAGGTGGCCGGTTCTCCGTTTCCCGTTGCTGGAAACGGATCACCTCATGGAATCGTTCGCCGAATTGCTGCGTCGTGTTTTCAAAGAGATCAAACATAACTGTGTGGCATACATTTTCAGATCAAGAAAGAAATGTCCTATCCTAACCTAACATGAGCCCATAACAATATTTACTGCATTGTTATTATTATATAAAAAGGTAATCATACCTTTTTAAATTATTTTAATAAAAATCAAGTGCTGACAAATCTACACGGAGTAAATATTTCCGTAAACGATTCCATGAGCCAATCCCTTCACTATCCCACTAGTTCACTGTGTGTCCGGGGGTAGGGTGATGGGAATTAGGCCGGGAGAATTACGCATGACTGCCACAGCTAGGGGGCTCAGGCTGGCCTGGCCCAGGACAGATTCAGTCCTGTTGTCGCTATACCACACTACTCATGCTTCTCACTAGAGGGCCAAACCTACACTACACTAGGGATTTAGCAACAATCTAGGTCCAAGAAGACAAAGCGTGGTTTCACATGAACAAAGCTGCAACCGAATGCAGACAAAACCCAGAACTCCTTTGTACCCCCCCCCCCCCCAAGAGACTCCGTGGATGACATGGCAACGATAAAACTCCTTGGTTTCCTAGCTGGAAAGCCCATATATACTGTAACCACCACACTGTCCATGTTGCCACACTGCTTGCTCGAGTGAACTGTCTTCTGAGACGCTTCTGGAATTGTGTCAAATGTTTCATTATCTTAATCCTCACGATGGCACTAGGTACCAGCCTAGGCTTGTTTTAGGAATTAAATTCCATTCTGGCGATATTTCCAGATATATTTTTTCCTAGGACGCTAAACACGAGCCTGGGATTGTTTTTTGCATTATTTCAAGCTAGACCTGGGGGTTGTGGCATTGTCACTTAGATAAAATCCATTGGTGACTTGGCGGGGATCGAACCCGGGACCTCAGGGATGGAGGTCCCGCGCTCTAACCACTACGCCAGCTCGCTCCCCATACTTCCAGATATAGCCATAGATTAAACCAAATGGGCAGTATGTTTAATCTATGACATACGGTAGCTTTATTGTGATATAACGCTCATTGGTAAATCGACTCACTCCACTCCACTCGGCGACTCGACTTTGTTTTGTTTGTGTGGGTGGTGATCGAACCTGGTCTGCTTTTCCGTGACACTGATGGTACTGTCAACGTCAACTGTCACTCAGTCAAGTCACTCATAATATTGCAATTAGGTTGAGCTGAACTCACTGTCATAAATTTAATTTTTTTTATTATTGTGTACAGTGTATTTTTAAATTAGGTTCCATTGCTATATATTTTGTGAAAATGAATGATAAACAAGAATTTAATGAAAAGAAATATATTTTAGAAGCTCACAAAACAGTGCTACAGCAACAGGTAGCTTATCATTTTCTGCTTCTCCTGCTCAAATATTAGGCCTAAGTAGTTAAGTTAACTGGGTACAGTTTCTTAACTGGGCTATGCTAATATCGATTGAAACTATCTATTCGATTAGTAAACTTTCATGCTATTTTTTCACCATCAGCAAGTTTGGTTGGTTAGGTTAGGTTATGATAGTTTAATTTTATAATAGATATATACAAAAATATTGATTATTATACAATATTTTCAATTCGATAGTATTAATCAATATTAGCGTATATGAACTTCAAAACAGTATTAATGATGTTTTCACAGCAAAATTTCTCGGTACCGGTAAGCTTGACTATATGCCTAGTAAAAATCAGGTTGCAGTGATGCGGGAACTAGCCAACTGAACTACAGTAATAGCCTGAACCCTTGTGCCTATTGTGTGAGCATGGAGGTTGGTGCACCGCGCAGCCTGGGCCTGTGAGTCATACTTCTGGCTCCAGTACCACTTCACAAACTTTTTTGTTTCAAGAAAAACATGAAAATAAATTGCATCCGGCTTATTTTTTTGCATAGGGCCTATTCCAGTTAACCAAACACCACACTGGTTGACTTACAGTAAGTTATATCAATATTCAAGAAGATTCAGTTACCGTATATCAAATTTAACGTGAATACCCTATTTAACATAAATACCATACTTAAACTGTTAAAAACCATGATTCACGGTTTGCCCGATTCGCCATATTGTGTGTTTTCCATATTTCACTTTGGCGTATAAAAATTGTTAGTAAATGTGGTTTATAAAAAGCCCCAGCGGTGAGTTATGAGAAGAGCTGTGTTGGTATTAAGGGCTCTAAGTTCCCTTATGGAAAAGAATAAGTTGTTGCTTAGGTAACTTAGGCCTAAGTTAGATAGCCTTTGTACTAGGTATGTGGAAGATGTAGTTGTTGGTGGTCGGATATATGTTATATGTAAGACAATTGTCATTTTGTTTTGATGTTTAAGTATTAAGTTTTTCTAGACTTAGCCTAACTTATATAAATACATACATATAGGCTATATATGTCTTTTTCCCAATGACTTTGAAGGGTTGTACTAAAGAATGAACTCTAACATCATGACCTATCTTTTCAGCCAAGCATAGACTCCATTGCACAGATACCCGGAAGTGATACGGATCAGTTGTTTGAGGTAAGTGATAGATAGATAGACTTATTTGATCATTAAACATTATACATAAAATGCAATAGATCATGTCAATAAATAGTAAGGGTATCGGAGAGATACATGCGCAATCATATGAGCTTTATTTTGGTGTAAGTTCATACTAAAACTTCCCGTAAAATCCCGTGTCTGGCAATGATTTTGTCTCGGTTTCGGGGATTTTCTCTCTTCAAGCCACTTTACAAAGACTCTGGGCTTCGGATCGAGGCATAACTGCTACCTTTGGGTGTTTAGGTGAACTACGTCCACTCTCGAGGAAACGCAGCACAATGGCTGACTGCTCTTTTGTAATTCGTCAGACTGAAATATTTGAATGCCAATCGTGTTCGCTGATTCTGCATTGGCATGTGCCTGTTTGAAGTATGGCCGCAGTGAACGTGTTTTAAAGGATGACTATTTATTAGGCTACAGTATCAATGCTTGTAGAGGGAGGGGGAATTTTTACCTAATCCAAATCGCGTTTCCTCCACTTTTTTGTGGTTCAATATACAAATAAAAATATAATTTGTTTAGTTTGTTTGTATTATTGTGTGTGTTTATGTTTTTCCCTCTCTTGGTTACAATTTATTTTCTTGTGAGATGACAGGATCATTAAATTTGTTGCCACATTTGCCAATTTGTTGGATGTTGTATAAAACCATCCCCAAGTGTAAATCAAGCTCAATATTTTCCAAAGGCCAAGACGCTCATAAAATAACAATATATTTTTAAGATTTTTTTTTTTCAGAATGAAAGGAGAAAGCAAACTGGCCTTGGGTACGCAAGTTTCAACTACATAAACTCCATCATCGGGAGTGGTGTTATTGGTGAGTATAACACATAACATTTAAGCTACCGCATAGGTAACGGAGTCATTCCATATTGATACAACTTTTAGTTACCAGTAAGTTATGTTTTGTGTATTCTCACAGATGTGAAAGTATAAATGTATTTATTGTCATACTGCAGCAAAAACAGCCGTTTTTTTTATACATGTTTTGGGGTGTAGATTAGCATTTTTTACTTCCTATGGAATGAAGCGAAAAATCAAAGAAAAATGAAGACATGGCTTTTTACATCATTTTTCCATATAGAGTAGACTATCCGGACTCCTCGGGACTAAGGCCAGTCCGGATATTGGTTTTTTCGGTTAAACCGACGTCCCCAAAAACTTGTTAAAACGGACAGTTTACTGTGATATTTGACTTAAATTTGGGAGAGCATTGTATTTAGACACGTGATCACTGGTCTCAAATCTTTCCTACGAGAACAGTAGTTTCAGTACCACCCACTTCTTGCCGATCTAGTCCGGTTAAACTAATGTGCTGATAAAAATTGTCCGGTTAAAGAGATGTCATTTCCGCCGAGTGTAGTCCGGTTAAACCGATGTCCGGTTAAAAGGTGTCCGGATAAGAGGGAGTCTTCTGAAGTAACAGTTATTATGGATTGAATCCATTCTTATAGCCTAATCACCTAAGCTAATTAGACATGTGGGACTACTGAAGTCAAAATAAGGGAGAAACTCTTCATTTGAAAAATTAACGTCTTTCTACAAAAAGCTTCGAAATACTGTACTCTCTCTCTCTGGAACAAAATCATCATGTTTTTTACCAAGTTACTACACCAATACACCAATCTATTCATTGCAGTAACAGTTAGGCCTATTAATGATTAATTTCAAGCTTACAATTTACCTAGATGCTACAAAGATAAATAGATAGAAAAGTTTGTTTTGATAGGAGCAAATATTTAAACACGACATCTAATCGGTTGTCATGATTTTATGTTTTCTTTTTTTTATCAAAATCTTTTGGGTAAATACGCATGTTTGCTTTAATTGCAACCTGTATTATTTTTTTTTTTACAAAAACAATCACTATTTTACTTAAGGTTGGCTTGTGGTAACAGCAAGCACTAAACAAAGTTTAGAGTATCCAGCAAAGCAAGGGGTGAGCCGGTACAGTACAAAGGTGAACTGTAGGCCTACTGATAAAATGTTTGCGGCAGTGACCAGGATCCGAACCCTTGACATTGTTGCCTTGGGCCCGAAGTCTGCGACGCTACCAACTGAGCCACCGACTCACCAACGGAAATTCGTTAAAATAATAGTGCTGCAATCTGTTGGTAATCCTTGTAACTTTTTAATGCTATTGACCATCATAGAACCCATGGTTTATTTGAAATAGCTGTCAAAAATATTCTTTTTAAATAGTCTTTCAAAATCCGGGACATGAGTACCTTTATGATGGTCCCAGGGCTAAGACCTGAAAGTTATCACGAAATTGATGACGTATAAATAAACCTATTACATGAAATTCTACATACCTATGTACCGAGTTTTGAGGCCATCAGTGAAACTGTCTCTTAGTTTATCACTGCCAAACATACAAATATACAAACCAACATCCTCTTTTATACTTACAGTTAAAGCATTTAAGTTAATGTTATCTTAGTATCCTTTTTTGAATTGTAGCTTCTAAGTTGTACCCCTGTCAATTCAAGGGATTTATAAGTATTTATAAATTGAATTAAATTGCAATTTTAAAATCACAAGTCTTTCGAAGAGCTAGTTTTACATTTTTTTTTAGTTGAGTTTGTAGAGAAGAATAATGTTGCTTTCTCGATTCTTTTAAAACAATGCCTAATTATAATGTCACTAACCCATTTAATTTAAAACAACAGGTTATCTAATGCCAAAGAAATCTACTATGATTTGATAAAAATTAACTGGACTATTATCTTTAGGAAACGGGAAATAAATAATGGAAATTTATTAGGATTCAAAGTCATCTTCTTATCAATGTAATTATTCTGTAGATATTTTCTTTTGTACCAGAACCATATTAGTTTCTTATCTCTTTCAAATTTTCCATTCAAATAAGAATTATACATCGGAGCAACTAATGTAGTAGAATATTCTACAAGAAAACTGGTCAGATAGCACAGAAAATAATTAAAACAAACACCAGCCTCTAAACATTTGAAAAAAAATTTAAATAAATTCTTCTGTTGTCAATTCTATTCAAGGCATCAAGTTAATCCTCCTTTGACATCCCTAACTTATTTTTTAAGCTAAAAATAAGCACAACAAATATACGAATAACAAACAGATTCATTCCTCCGCTGCAGCAAACCTACATACTAAGCGAATTTCTATTTGTTGGATTTTCACTTAAATCTTTTTAGCTAACATTAGGTTTGACGAGTACCTAGGTTTTCTGCTACAGGGAGGGCGATAAAGTGTGTTTTTAGCAAAAGTATTAATAGCTTTGTATAAAATCAATATATTTGCCAAGTTTGTTTAAAATATATCTAGGATTGTACAAATTTTAATCACCACGCTAATAAACCAAATACGTAGATTAGGTTATAGACCCTAAGCAATCTTAATAATTAAATAATAATGGTGTGTTTATAGTTAATGTTCAGGCTTTCAATGTTATTAAGTTACTAATACTTCAATACTGATTGCCATGTTATGTTTGCCACATCAATTGCGTTTTTTGCGTTTAATGTCAAAAGTAAAACTCAAAATAACTTATAGGCCTACTTTCGCTACCACAATTATATGGAATTTACGTTCGCATAGACCAGCGAACGTAAATTAAAGCGAACGTTTAATCTTTTTTATTAAACCTTTTGACTAGTCTATTTAAAGAGTTCTTCAAATGTTAAACAACTATTTTATTTATTATTAATAAATACATTGTAAAAAAGGACATTATATAATAACATTATATAATATTAGACTATAAGAAGAATGACGAAGCACCTGTGCATTTATCTAAAACCTCTGTACGTTTATGTGCTAATAAACATGATTTGATTTTGATTTGATTTGAGCGACGCAATTGCGCGTCGACTCGTTTCTCACAATAGACCACTGACGCATATTTGCGTCAGCTGATCACATTGAAATAGACTTACGACGCACACTTGCGTCGGTGTTCAATGTTATTAATCAGCGTATTTCTTAGCAACGGTCTATTTTAAAGCCCTGATTTTATCGTATCGGTCTAGAGGGATATCTGCCGCAAATGTGCGTCGCTTGGTCTGTGGATATGACGATTGATTACGTCACACAACAGTTGGCAACATTGTTGTTTACATTGTGTATTCTGCGACATCTCAGAACAGATGTAAACGTTATAACCTTTGCAGTTTTGGCGAGTGTTTGGTGGAGTTTCTTTATTTGTTTGTGTAAAAGCTTGAAACAACCAAAATTACAACGACGCTTACGTGCGTCGCCTGGTCTATTGAAAAGAAAATGTAATCTTTTTATCTGGATTTCATTAAATAGACTGACCGACGCATATATGCGGGGTTTCAAAATTTGCTCAAAACGATAAATAAAAACAATATTTATTGCTTACTAATTCAGTTAAGGTTAATATGAAGTCAATTAGTCCATTCAAACGATATTTCTCTTTTGGTCTGTTGGCAATGTTATTCCTATATCACTTGGTCTGTAAGCAACGTCATGATCATTCCTTTTGGTCTGTAGGAGTGACCGGACCGACGCATATGTGCGTCGCTCGGTAGCAAACGTGTTAATGATAATTAAATTGTCCATTTAAAATAGATTACAACTTATACCATTTCATATATATTTATCATCTTAAAAATAAACAGTTTATGTGATTTAAGTGTTATTGGACATATTTTTTATTTATTTTCCGTAAGTAAAAACTCCTCAAATTCACAAAAAAATTAATAGATAAATAGGTTTTGCAATCCCGTTAATCCCGGGATTAAAAGACGGAAATCCCATGATTTCTAGGTAGAGTAAAGACCAGCTGTTGTAAACATATGTAAACTTGATTGTAAGCAATCAAATCAAAATTATTTATCGTTTGATTTACTTAAGTTTGTAGCTTAGTGTTGCATTCTTTTCAATAGTTTGTCATATCGATAGCATGATAAACAATAACACAGTCGGAATAGACAAAAGTATCACCTCAGCTGCTTATTTGCATTAGCAATATGGAAAGCAAGTTTGAAGTTGTTTTGAGAGGTTATCTGTAGCCTACATGAAAAGAATTTTTGTTTTCTATCTTAGTTTGTTTTATCTTAGTTTGTTGCAATATGATGAAGAATATAGTTCATCACACGGTCAAAAAGTGTCTTCTCATCAAATGTACAAGCCCTTATTCTGCAATGAAAGTTTAAATTTGTGAGAAAAATTAAGTTTTTCTATGCTACACTGGACCGTAGTTAGTGTCAAATATTATTTAAAATGTCTCCAGTTAATAACCGTCAAATATTATTTAAAATGTCTCCAGTTAATAACCTTAAAAATTATGTATAAAAAACCTACTTTTTCTTTGATTTGTCATTCTTAAATTTTAGAGTTTTTCTTGAAAAACACAGAACGGCTAAACTTGTGTTTTCTGTAAACAACATAACTGCTTAACCCTCCGAGTGTCCCTTGTTTTGGCCTTAATCTGTAAAATAAAACGATACCTAACTCGATCCAGTTCAATCCGATTTTGTCAGTCATAGAGCCTTCGCCGTAAACAGTGTTTGTGAGTCGCTGCAGCGACAGAAAACACTACACAAAGTGTGTTATGTGTCGCTGCAGCGACAAATAACAGTCGGAGGGTTAAAAAAATTTTAATAAAAATAAGGCAGAACCAATAGCAACATATGCAAGCAGTCATGAGTGGGAACCGAGAGTAAGTAGGAGCTTTAGCCCCTGGGTCCGTCTGGTACTGCCGATAGGTCTGATCAATGGTCAGGAGAAGCACTGCAGATAGAGTAGTGTATTTTTTTTTAGCCTGGAACTGTTATACACATTACTTCAGGCTAGTCCTAAAGGGGGTCGCAGCATTATCACATAGATAAAATTCATTGGTGATTGGCGGGATTTTAACCTGGGACCTCGGGCACCAAAACCCTGTGCTCTACCAGTAGACCAGCTTGCTCCCCGAGTACTGTAGTTCAAATCCCTTCTAGGACATGTCTATTTTGCAACTTGTGAGGAGTTTACCTATTTGCAGCAAAACTTTATAAGAGAGGCCAAACAGTGGACCAACTCCATTATTCACAGACAACACGTCGACTGGGTGTAGTTTTACAAAATAGTTCTTTGTGTTCATTCTTTGTGATTTGTACCCCAAATCAGGGATTTGCTACTTTTTTACCACCTTAACTGAAATTAGGAAAAAATCATTATCCAAAGAGGCACAATCAAATCAGTGAGCAATCTGTGGTGCTCAGAGGGTTAACAAAGCTGGCTGCAAGTTTTGGTATGGTGTGATATACATCCACATGCTGATTGTAATGCTTTGTTTGCAGGTATACCGTTTGCGTTCCAACAAGCAGGTTTTGGTCTGGGTCTGGTATTGTTGGCTGTTGTAGCCCTCGTCACAGACTACTCTCTGCGACTCATGGTCCGATCTGCTCACATCTGCGGAAGTTTCTCCTACTCTGGTATCATGGCTGCAGCGTTTGGATCTACTGGGTTCTTTCTACTGTCTGCACTTCAGTTTGTTTACCCATTCATCGGTAAATACAGTTCTCTCATGTAATTCAGATTATTGTCAGAACAATAATTATTTAAGACCATTTTAGTAAAAATACCTTAACCGAAATCAAAAAATTTATTTACAAAAGAAAAAAGAAAAATAAAGAAAAAAAGTTGTTATAAAAAAATATATAGAAATTGAAGAATTTAGGTCTTTAAAAGAATGTAGTAATAGTCTGTAAAAAAATGAATTGATAGGACTTTATATTGTTATATTATGTACGAGTATATCATTGTTCCATTAAAGTTGTACCATTTCCATGATTAAATAAATGAACTTGAAAATTGTAGAACAGTTCATAATCAAGAGATTATTTGCACAACTATTATAATGCTACATAATTTTAAAGATGATGAAGCAGTTTGAGTTAACATCATGAGGTACTGTAATGGATAGATGGAATTAGTACAATACATAAGAATGCAAAGAGATAGTTATGAAAAAAGTGAGTGCACATGTTCTAAAGAGAGAGAGGCTAGTTGGTGAGGCCAAACATTGTAGATACTAATGGTTACTAAGATAGAGTAAACTTTATTAAGAAGCAGTGTAGGAGTCCTATACTCTGTCTTATGTTTCCCATGTGTTCTAGCTATGGTAAGTTACAACGTGGTGGTAGGAGATACAGTCACCAAAGTCCTCGTGAGGATGTTTGGACTCTCGTCTACTGCTCTGTTAGCCCGCAGAGATTTTGTAGTGTTACTTTGCACTCTCTCAGTAACGGTTCCTCTTTGTCTTCAGGTAAGCTTTGTTTGTTTGTATACCTGGAATGCTTTGGATATGTGCTTTGTCTGGAAATAAGTAGGTTGCCAGTTCCATTGTGAGTAAAGTCATTGAATTTTGGATTGTTTGAAAGTAGACCCCTCGGTCCTTAATTGTTTACAAACACACATTTGAATAATATGATACTGTAAAAAAGGAACTATTAAAAGTGTGAATAAGCTCCAAAAATCAAAAGTCAGTTCAAGTTTGGACCAAAAAACGTTAAGCTCAGTTCAAATTAAGCCAAACTTTTGTATAAACACTAAACAATATACCCTACAAATTTGTTTTACTACTATAAATTATTTCAGTGGTTATTAATAAACCAAAGTGTAAAATGTACCAACTTCCTTCCTTTCATACAGCTGATTCATATGATAATCTTTCATTAAAACTATGGCGTTATTTATCAACTCTTATTTTTGTTTGACAGAAAGACATGGCTCGATTAGCAAGAGCTTCCATGGTGTCCATATTCTTCGTATTCTTCATTCTTTTCACCATCACATTGAGGTTCTTCACTTTGTTCGGAGTCGTGTAAGTAATATTCAATCATTATTGTTCCTGATTGTGTGGTTTTTCATACACATACGGCAGACCCTCTATAATCCAACATTGCTTCATTCCAGTAATCCGGTGTCTTTTGACGGGTGTGGATTTCCGCAATCGCGGCGAAATTCTGGTTACCTCCCACGGCTGTGTAGACATTATCATCGTCTCCCACAGTCACGGAAACATCATCGTCGGCTTGCACGATCGCGGCAAATCATGGCCATTTCCCAAGGTCCTGTTGTCATTATCCTTGTCTTCCGCGATTGCGGCAAAATTCTTATCCATGTCCTGCGGGCATGTAGACATTATCATCGTCTCCCGCGGTCACAGAAACGTCATTGTCGTCATTGACGATCACGGAAAAATCATGAACATCTCTCTATTCTATTATACCTTTGGGCTTTATCCCTTCTGACACAACACACCTTTGAATCCTCATTTCGATTCCGGTATGAATTGTTGATAGCAATGTACATTTTTCCTATCCTTCCACTTCACAGCTAGGTTGGCATCCCTGCTTCGCTGAATCACTCGTCCCATTTCCAATTTGGCAGAATCAAATTCCTCCGGCCTTTTCAGATTGACTGTGCCTACAACATGTGTGTTTCTTTCTAACAACCGCTTACACAGTCCTGGAGAATTGTACCAGTTATTGATATACAAAATATGGCCTAAATCAAAATTATTTAATTGCATAATTGCATTACCACTGCTTCGCTATCAGGAATGTTAGAAGCTTTACCATCTCATATGTATATCTTAAAATCACCACAATATCCAAAAGTTCATATATTTTTATTCCTAAACAAACCCTTTTAAGGGATAGAACTGAACATAAAATAACCGTACCCTTAGCTTGACAAGACTTTCATTGATCGCCAGATTTTGATTCATAGTGTACGTGTGCATAAACTTGACTGGGACGGTGGCGTCGTCCTGTAATCCAGCTACTAGGAGATCACGAATTGTGGATATTTATAGGCATGCACTGTGGATGTGATACTCCCAGGTGTGGATTAACGTCCGAACTAGTGAGTATTACGACTATCGGCAGTACTACTCTGATAATTAATTAGACCAATTTGTTAATACCAAGGCAAAAATGTGGTTCGGATTCCACTATAAATTGTAGGTCCCTTAGTTGCCATTAGCTGTTTGGGCTATTAATAAACAGCTGTGTCTAAGGAATATGTTGGCTTTAGTCACTAACAAGACTAAACGATCGCGCCACTCATCCTACACTCATGTCCATTGATACTTTGCTTAAAATACCTACTTTTCATGGTCGCCATTTCAATGAAAAGTATTTAAAGTAACGCATGTAGGATATGATGGGTCAGAGCTTCTTACTTAAGCTTATCTCCTCACTCAACAAGTGAAGAGTGAACAGTGAGATGAATTCTTTTCGGTGTAGAAGGGTCTCTCTAAGAACCAGCCTGTGAGTTTTTTTTTCTTGAAAATTTATGAATTATTCTGTTGTTTAAATTGTTCTGGAAGGAGATTGAAGTATTTAGCTCCTTTGTAGGATGGATTTCTTTCAGTATGTGATAGTTTGTGGATTGGAAGGGTGAAATCTAATGCATGTCAGGCGTTATGATGGTGTATCATCATCTCCTTTGGTCATGGCAAAATCTAACCGTGCGATTGCGGAAACACAGTCCAAATCTTATCCAACATCATTGCCGTAGTAGAAAAATATTGCTTAACATTCAACAATCCAAAACCAGTATTTTCTACTCCTTTGGTCATGCCAAAATCTAACCATGCGATTGCGGAAACACAATCCAGATCTTATCCAACATTATTGCCATAGTAGCAAAATATTGCATAACATTCAACAATCCAAAACCAGGATTTTCTACTCCTTTGGTCATGGCAAAATCTAATCGTGCGATTGCGGAAACACAATCGAGATCTTATCCAACATTATTACCATAGTAGCAAAATATTGCATAACATTCAACAATCCAAAACCAGTAGGCTATTTTCTACTCCTTTGGTTATAGCAAAATCTAACCGTGCGATTGCGGAAACACAGTCCACATCTTATCCAACATCATTGCCGTAGTAGAAAAATATTGCATAACATTCAACAATCCAAAACCAAAATTTTCTACTAATTCCGATTTTGTTTTTTTTATTATAAAAACCCGAAAAACCAACAACTGACAAACCCTTTTAAAGAGGTAGCCTAATTATGTATCAAGGAGAGTGATGTTTGTTGATTGTTTGTGATGTTGTATGCGGGTGTGAGCTCTTGAACAATTTATGCTCCTGGGTGCTCCAAACCTGGCTACGCCACTGAACAAAACATACTAGCTTAAGCACTCCATTAACTCATCCTTCACTCATATTTGAGTTAAAATATGTCCTGTTACCTCATTATCTTAATATAATAATACTTATATGCCTATATGGATCTAGCTAGCTTTGCAGATTAACACGTTCAGTGCGGAATACCTTCAAACAGGCGCTCGATAATGGCGGCGAGGCCCGGGCGAAGCCCCGCAGCGCAACTGAATCGGTGAACGCAATTGGCATTCAAATATTTCAGTCTGACGAATAAAAAAAGAGCAGCGGTGATTGTGCTGTGTTAGCCCGAGAGTGGACGTAGTTCACTGAAACACCCAAAGGTAGCAGCACTGCCTGGATTCGTAGCCAGTGTCTTTGTAAAGTGGCTCAAAAAGAGAAAATTGCCGGAACCGGGACAAAAGTATTGCTAGACGGGATTTTACGGGAAATTTTAGTACCAACCTACACCAGACTAAAGCTACATAATCTAAGCTACAGGCTGGCAACGATTATAACGTTCCCTGGCAAAGGCTGAGCTCACACTAAACTAATGTGGAAGAGTGGCATGACGTCAGCTTTAGCTGATGTCCGCCACCAGTGCTAGTGTCGGACATCATCTATTGATGATGCCCGCACTCAACGTGTTAAGAGCTGAGACAATCAGAAGATTAAGAAAGTTAATTTCCTCTGTGGCACAAACAATGAATTTCTCTGTCCGCTATATGCGTCCCTAATGACGAAATGTCTGTCATCTGTCCATAAAGATTTTTCTATTCTTAGCTTTGTTCGACTTTATTCCTGCAATTCTCTTTCTCCTTGCAGGCCACCCACTGAGGATGCATTTGAATTTTCAAACTCTGGAGTAATCCCTGCAATTGGCATCATGGCTTTTGGTAAGACCCTATAATTTATTATGAATTGTGCTATGTTTCTTTCAAGTGTATCTACAATGTGATTTGTCAGTATATCAGTATGCCTCTTGTAGTACTATAAACCGAAGTGCTCGCTATCAAGTATCAAATTTGCTATAACAGAAGAGAAAATTATATCAGTAAACTCAAATATAATCGGATATGAAACGTGTCTCAAAATAGGATTGAAATGTTACACTGTAGTTCTTAGTTAGTAAACTTCTTTACTTACAGTATCCACTTAGGCCCGGTTCACACGAACGACTTTTCTAGCTGACTAGGCTTTGACTAGGTAAGCCCGACTGGGTAGCGGACCACAGGGTCACACCAGTTCACGCAAGCGACATGTCCACGGACTAGGTGAAAATATCGAAATCAAAACCACTCGGTTCCATCACTGGTGCACAATGAGAACAGAGGTAAGAATGCGAGCTGCAGCGGGACTACCCGATCGCTCGTGTGAATAAGGCTACGTGTACTGCTACGCAGCTCGACGGGGAAACGGGGCCCGACTAGGTTTTGGGACATCAAGCTCGAACACGACTAGCTAGTCGGCGTCCTACGGTCGTGTGAATGGCTACATTTGATCTTGTGGTCCGCTACCCAGTCGGGCTTACCTAGTGCTTACCTAGTCACAGCCTAGTCTGCTAGGTATGTCGCTTATATAAACCGGGCCTTAATATCGGTAGGTAGCTGAGTGGTCATAGTGCTTGTTTGGTAGTCAAAAAGTCACCGGTTAGATCCAGAAAAAATTCAGTAGCCTTTGGTTTGAAACTGGACCAGCTGCACTTGTTCATTGGGTTTTTACTTTTAAATAAACAGTTCTGCGTTAGAAACAGCTGAACTTAGTTAAGTAAGAAAACTTCACAAGGCATCTAACCATAGCCACCTCCAACACAAGACACGGCAAACAATGTGGCAACGTTGCACTCGCTGGCCTAATGTAGTAATAACTGTAATTACATACAATCAAATTTAGCATTGCACAGATGCTCCGTATGAAGTTAGTGATGCAGTTCTTTGATTGGCTAGGACAGCAGAGTTGCCACTTTTGTCTCGCCACATCCTTGTAATTAAGGATTATATTTGATTATAATATCCCACCGATCCATACTTGGGAATAACGAATAGAAATTCTATCGAATAGCACTATTCATTAGTTTTTTTGGCTAACTTCTATTTTATTCGTTTGTTTTTAAATTAACTAACTAATAACTTCTATCAGTTACTTTTTACGGGACTAACTAATAACTTCTAACTAGTTAGAATTTTCAACTAACTTTCCCAATTATGCGGAAGCATCTCAAATACTGGTTATTTATTTCACGTGATCAGTTAGGGTTGCGTGCGGCCGTGAGAGGTCAGTGCCCTTGTAGACAAACAACGCTGGGGGTGGGGAAAGAGAAAGTCAAAGTCCAGTTGCTTTGGAATGCAGTGGGCCTGTGGAAGGGTAGTGACGACCATTATCAACACCCCAAGCACTGAGGGGTGGGAAGGGGAAATGTTTGTTTGGTGATTGATATATCATCTCAAGTGTCAAAACATTGTCTTTAGTTGATGTTCATTATCTGACAAGTTTTATGTCATTTGTTTATGTTGTAGTAATGTAAAATGTGACAATGTTTGATTAAAACACAAGTACCAGGGTACCGATCTTGCTCGAGGTGTTTGATTTGTTCAAGAGGTAAAAAATATAGCTTATAAGCCTACAAATATTTTCAGTCTTACTACGATTAATTAAGTAGTAAAGTCAATTCGTTTTTGTTAGACATCCACTTATCCTCAATTTAGTCTACAAAACTTTTTAATTTGGACGATCAATCTATAAAATGTCCACAATAAGCTTCAATCAATATAAAACTCATGATACATAACATCTGTTATCTGACGACCGTTATTGCATTAAGTCACTGGGATCGTGGAACGTTGCAACTATAATTACGGGATGGTGTAATAACGCATCAATTCGTGCAGTGCATCGTCGAAAAATACAAATCTCCTTTGCCTTTCCTTTAGATTTTTAGTTCAATGTCAGTGTATATTGTTTTGCAGTAAAACACTTAATGTTTTTGAACAGTCGTAATTATCCCTTTGGTTAGTAAGACATCATACAATGCAAATGTATTATACAAGCAATTTTCAATAGCATTGAAATTGGAGGAAATCGTAGGAGCCATTTTTAAAATCATATAATGCGCAATCTTTACTCATATTATAGTATATATTAGTAACCAAGATGTGACATTAAAAAATACTTTAAAACAACTGCCCAACGAACAACTAATTTCTACTAAAACTAACTTTATTTTCTATCAGTTAGTTTTTCAACTAACTAATAACTTCTATCAGTTACTTTTTAAACTAACTAACTTATAACTTCTATCAGTAACTTTTTACGGGACTAACTTATAACTTCTAACTAGTTAGAATTTTTGACTAACTTTCCCAACTATGCACCGATCCCACACTAATCGTTCATTTATACTTGGTTGTGTCCGCATCTACTCGTGGTGAGTGATACCTTCAATTGGCTTTCCGCAGCGTTCATGTGTCATCACAACGTGTTCCTACTGTACGCCTCCATAGAGGAAGCTACCCAGGAGAAGTGGGACAAGGTCACTCATTACTCTGTGTTTGCATCATTCCTTGTCACCGTCGTGTTTGGACTTGTTGGTTACACCACATTCACTGGATATGTGCAAGGTTAGTCTTCATTTCAGTTGGCAAACATAAAATGACAAGGCTTATAGATATTGTTTATATCCATGAAGGTGTTATAACCTCTGAATCACCTGTTATTAATTTTTAAGTAGAGGAAATTGACCAAAATACTTTGGGTTTTGTTGGTTATAGGGTTTAATCTCTTCCATTATTCTAAATGCCACAAAAGTGTCTTAACAATAAGATTATTCAGTTGTAATATTTAAAAAATATATAGGTATTAAAACGTGTTCCCTTTTGTGTAGTTAGCTATATTGTATTAACGGACTGTGCTATAATTTTAGCTGTTTTATGACACTAAACAATAATTTGTAAATATTCAAAAGTTAATAAACATATTTCATTTCATTAACCTGGTTGAACAAATAATACTTCCTGTTGAAAACTTTAATTATTTAACATGTTATTTTTTTATTAAGTGTAGTATGATTACAATAATCTAGAAACATATGTCTTCTACGTATTTTATCCTTTCCTTTGATACCTCACATGTGTCCTACACTAAGTTATAAGGTAAAATGTTGAAATAGGCGATCATGAACCTTAAACAGTTTTCTGTATGGTATATAGCAAACCATAATCCAACCACTTTTTATACGTAATTCTTACATTGACAATAGCACAACGAGTCACATCTGGTACAAGCCATTCTATCTACCTTATATTGAGGTAGAATTACGTAAAAAAGTGGTTGGATTATGGTTTTCTATGTACCGTACAGAAAACTGTTTAAGGTTCATTGTTGCCTGTTTATGACTATTGACTAATCAGGAAAAGACTTTATTACAGTAATTCTACCTCAATATTAAGTAGATGGAATGGTGTACTAGATGTGACTCTTTGTGTTGCTGTCAATGTAATTGTAAAACATATAAATAAAAAATAGGGATGGACGGGATTACATTTGATTCGGGAATTTTTCAGGATGGAATTTGATCCGATCGTCGGGGATTTTGCCGCTTCACGAGTGTCGATTACATTTTTATGTTTTTATAGATCAGTGCCACAAACGGTGATTTTGTTTGTCTTTTTTTGTAACGCATTATTCAAGACTTTTAAAACAAACCCTTTTTATGCACAGAAAAATATCCCGTCAAGTCCCGTCCGAAACTAAAAATTCAATCCTGCCCATCCCTACAAATCAGCAATGAGAAACAGGCTCTACAGCAACAATTGAGAGAGAGATAAAAAAGAATACCATCACAAAATAAGCCCTCCTTGTGTGTCTACTGCATTATGAAATGAATGAAATGAAATGAAATAAATGAATGAAATGAAATAAATGAATGAAATGAAATGTGTTTATTGTCCTTATAATTTTCACAAATTATTGACAAAGTCATTCAACTGCTAAGGTTTATAGCATAGTCAGTTAATAAATACAGTAAGATACAATATAGCTAACTACATAAAATGAGAAATTTTACAATACATATTTTAAATATTACAATTGAATAGGTGATCTTATTCTTAAGAAAAATTCGTGGGGTTTAAAATATGGCAAGTGAACATTGGATGGATACAAATCTCCTTTGTTACCTGTAAACAACAGTCATTCTTCCTTCTTTTCAACAAACAACACCACCAGTCAATCTAAAAGAAGCAATTTACTTTGCTCCCCTTTGTAGATAATAATAACTAAACATTTAGATTCAGGTAATCTTCAATTCCTAATGTGAACTCTCGTATATAGGTGACCTGTTGGAGAACTTCTGCTGGGACGATGACCTGATGAACCTCTCTCGTGTGGTGTTCAGTGCCACCATACTGTTGACATTCCCTATAGAGTGTCTGGTGACCCGGGCAGTTGTGGAGGCTGTGTGGGGACATTTAGACACTGCACGGGCACATCGTGGTGTCACTCTCTCTATTGTCATGGCCGCCTACTTGGTATCTGTCAGCACTGACTGCCTGGGTATTGTGCTCGAGTTAAATGTGAGTTAATTAATTTCTCATGTTTCTTTTTCTATTTTGACCTGTGTAATGTGTAACGTGTTTCGATTGATATTCAGTGGTTATTTTGTTTACATTTTTTATGCAGGCTATTTGTTTTTTATAGCACCATTTACATTTGTTTATAATTTGTATAGGGAACAGTACAAATCTATCTTTGCCTTGTTTCTTTAACATTGACCGTGTGTTAGAAAGCATTATTAATTAATAGGCCTACAACAAATTGCATCGGGGTCTAGAATTGATCCCACTTGGAGTTGGAAATCAGCATCCTTGAAGTTAGAAGGCAAGCACTAATAACTTTGTCTAATATTTTTAATTTATTGTAGGGATGGTCAAGTCTCGAAATTTCGGGAAATTTTCGATCTCGTTACACGAGACGAGATTACTTTTTGGCCGAGATTTTTATCGAGACGAGAATAAAAAAAAAAAAAAAAAAAAAAAATTAAAAACGCCTGCAGAAAGTCAATGCAATACCCGCAATACAGGAGCGTGTTGTAGTTGCGTTTCCTTTTCGAAGGCGTTCTTATTTAATTAATTGTTTTAATGTAAATATTACTTTCATTATTTTAATAATATTACTTTAATAACATTTGAGAAGTTTTGTTAAGTGTAAGCAGTGTGAGGAATGTTTTATTACTATAAAAAAAGTCAAAACAAGTAACTATTTTATAAAAATTAATATTGCTTTTATTTTATGATTTATTTTATTTTAGGATAAGTTGAACTCTATCCTAACTGATATCACCATGTTTCCTAATCGTAGGCATTTTTAATAAGTTAGGCGTGATTAATAAAAAAATGTTATGCTGATGTTATTTAATGAAAGATTGTAAATATTCTTGCCTATTATCATTATTTTAGTATTTAAACAGTCATCTAACAATGTTACAAAATCAGGTAAAAATTTCAAATGTGCATTTCCCGTTGTGTATGAGAAGAGAAATCTCGTCTCGATCTCGTCTCAAAATTTTATGAGAAATAAAAAATCTCGTCTCGTCTCGTCTCGAACTAAAAATCCAATCTCGTCCATCCCTAATTTATTGTCTTACAGAAGCTTTAATATTTGTGTACCAACTCTTAAGTTTTATTTCTTCAATTTAGTCTGTCTCATGTTATATGTTTTGTTTCTATCAAAGCCCTACCTATGAGTATACAGGGTAAAAAATTAAATTTTCCCATTGTCAATTTTATAGTATCGCAATTTGTGGCCCACAATTTAATGGTGCTAATATGAATGTTTATAAATAATCAATATGCTGTAGGGTGTGCTAGCGGCAGTTCCTTTGGCCTTTGTGCTACCAGCCGCTACTTATCTCAAGCTGTGTCCTGGCTCTGTGTTATCCAAGGACCAGTTGCCAGCCCTGGGAGTGGTCGTGTTTGGTCTGTGTGTAGCCTTGACTGGTCTCTATCTCATCATCACACAGTTCGGATCTGTAGGCAGCTGTACACACGGTAATCTCATGTGGTATTGTCAAACCAACAGTACAAGTCACTCGTAAATTATCTGTTTTTATATGTGCCAACAACCAAAAGATGCTACAATATGCATTTTGTTTGATTATGCCATAGATTACACATACTCCCATAGTAGATTTGTCATCCTTATGGATCAGCTGAAGACGACTTTTATGTTAGTTCCATCCGGTGCCGTTAGACTTTCGAAAATCATCAATTTTCTTACACTAAAAACAAATAGTGATCAGCTGACTTTTCCTGACATAAACATTACTTTTGCTACACAAACAATACTTTGCCTATCATCAACAAAATTACAAGTGAAGAAAAAAGAATAGGTTACAAAATATCAGATAATTTTATTAAGTTTGATAAGGATGTTTTTTTTTTTTTTTCATTGTGATCAAAAGTATTGTTCAATACTCGTCATGAAAGTCCCATTTCAGGGCTCGATAGTGTTTCCTATGCTCCTCTTCGACTTGCATGTAAAACACTATCTTGCCCCGAAATGGGTCACTTTCGTGACTAAATATACTATTCCCTACAGTTATTATAAAGCATAGAAATAAATTGGTTTTGCAAACACTAAACAAGACGTTTTAGGTTAGGTTAAAGTGTTGCCAACCTATTTCCAAGCGTACACGGATTACTTGCTTAATAAGAGCACGCTGTTTTTTGTTGTTTGGTTGGAATACTTTTGCGAGAAAGTAAAAACTGTGCGACAAAGTAAAAAGCGTGCGGCAAAGTAAGTAAATGAAGCAATTAGCAGCTTTCTGTACTATTATCAGTGCAAGGAAGCCCACTTTGTCGGGTTACTGTAGGAAAATTCATATTTTTTCTCTTGTTTCTATTAAGCTAAAAAGTTTTAAGTTACCTGGCTTCATCAAGTGATCCTTCTTTAGTATTTCACTACTATAGTTTCGGACTTGAAAATAAGTCCATCTTCAGGTTAACAAAAACGTCAATAGGTCATCTAACCAATTTGGTTAGATTCGTCGATACACTTAAAACACATACACGAACACGAAAAACACAAAAAACTAATATAATACTGTAAAAAACTGGCCAGTGTAATTAATCACGGGGGACACGTGTGGCGACGCCGGAAGATGAGTCATGACTGCATGTCCAAGTCCAGTGGATGACGTAATGTCCCTCTCCTGTCCTGACCTTCTTGTTTCTATTAACTACTATCTAAGGGAGTATCTTTTATCTATGCTACTATGGTAGTTGAAGTGACATTTAAAGTACACATTGCTAGGCTCTATGTTATGCAAGATGATTTACGTTTATTGACTGAACAAGAGGAAAATGTTCCAACATTTGTTTGAATTGCAGTGAACTAAGTACAATCACGTCATTTTTTTGCAATTATAGCATGAATTTACTGGGTTTGAGGTTTGAATCACACCAATTACCAATTACTATTTTCTATGTTGATTGATTGATTAAGCCACTCACATTACGCCCTACAGTGTACAATTATTACTGTTACTAGGATAGTTGATGAGACATCAAATACACTGTAGTTTTAAATGAGTTGTCCTTTCAGTTTGGCATGGTCAAAATGTTGGAATATCTGACAGAAATCAGTAATTTACATTGCAGTTTGCTCAATTTAAATACTAATTTTCATTCTAAAACTAAACTAGTTGAAACTTGTACATGGGAATAGAATGTCAAATCTTGGCATTCTCTTGGTTGTTGGCACAAAGACTGTTAAGTTTGTTTTATTTGTTTACATAATAATTTGTTTTGTACCTGTTATTACCTAGTGTTCTTATAACTGATTCGATGGTTTAAAATATGTAATTTAGTAACTCCTAATCTGATACACTTTACCTCAAAGTTTTTGTTCTAGTCACCGAGCTGTTGAAAAAAGACTTAAGGGAAACTTGACAATCCCAAACTATTTGCATTTGTTAATAAGAGTTTATAATTACTTTCTATTAGATATTTAAGTATAATTAAACCTTCATACTTTCCAAAAAGTTTTACAGTACACAGTAAGACTGAGTTGCTACATCCTACAAGCCACTATAAACATCCCCCTGTAGTTACACTCAATAAATTGTCTTTAAAATAACAAAACTTTGAATGCTGCATTAATTTTCACAGAGAAAACTATAGGTTTTCAATGGGAATCCGTCAAAAATCGCTTAACTGTAAGATTTGTAAACTCTATCACAAGTTAGTATATTACTTTTTTGTTTAGGTATGAATCGCTAACGTTTTTGTTAGGAAACAGTCGAAACCCTGGTCTTGATACTACTATCTTAAGTTTTTTGTTAGATTATGGTGTCTGAATCATGTATTTTTTTACTCTTATTGCAGTTTTAATGTGATTTTTGTTGTTTTTTTTAGGCTTTTTCCAAATGTTTTTTGCATGTTTTTATACACGTTTTATAAGAAAAGATTTTTGTTTAATTAAAAAACTAGTTGAGAAATATATATAGGCAATGTTATATATTTTGTGACATATATATTTGTTAAATATATCATAGGAATGTGTGGTAGTAGAAAGAAATCATGTTTTATCTCATTGTTAATGCTATTTTGTGGAAGATTGTTTAGTTTATTTTTTGTTTGTTGAATAAGGACATTCCAAATAGTAACACTGAGTGTAATTATAAAATTTGTCCTACTATTTAATTTGCTCTCTGATTTTATGGTAATAAGTCTGTGAATTTTTTATAGTAGACCTAATTAAAAACTGTTATAAAATACAAAGAAAAAATATTTAGCAAGCTTAAGGGTTAATTAGATTGGAGGATGTATTTGTTTATATATGTTTTGTTACAAAATACGGTGAAATGAACACCAAAGTATGTAAAAATAAGAGAAAAGCTTTATAGTTGTTAAAATCTTTAGCTTTGTAACCATGTTAATACAGGCAATATAGCATTTAAATATGTAATATATAATTTTTATTTTATTAAGTTTTTTTCAAGAACTTTTATTATTTTTAATGAGAAATCCAGTAAGTAGTATAACATCACTTAAAAATAACATGTATACTACTACAGTACTATAATATTGTTAATTTTGCGCTATAATGTAGTACTTAAACCTTTTGCAACTGATGTTTTTAAGGATCTACTCAGTTCAAGGTTATCTGTTGTAAAACAGTTTTAATCTGACAATAATTCAATTGTTTTGTGAATGATGATCATAATGTTTTTGCTAGGGCTGGTATAGTTTGAGATATCTTGCTGTTATTTATACTACAATGGAGTCCCGGTAATCTGAATTTGGTAATCTAAGTGTGCTTAATCTAATACAAAAAATAGGATTTTTAATGATAAATAAAACTAAGAATCAATAATGAGTGTGTGAATTAAACCTGCTACAAATGACATTAAGTTTCAAAATAGTGAGTGGAAGGAACAAAAAAAGGTGTTATTATAGTAGTTATAAACTGTATTCAACCCGGTTTTATTTATTTTCTTTATCTATGCTAATTTTCTTCAGTCGACATCACAGCAAAATATTATAATTTTGAATCATTTATCTAGATTTTGTTTTTTGTGGAATAGTTATATAGAAGTTAGAAGACACTTTGACAAGGTTACAAATAGTTTTAAATTCTTCAATTAAGTTATTAATGTTAGAAATTGTTTTGTATGGGCCTATGAATGAGGTTTCAATGCTTGAATGGATTGTACTTTTTTTTATTACTTGCTGTCATAGATGAAATGAAATGAAAATTGTTCTTTATTGAGGCAAATTTATGACCTCATGGTCCTTTCTTACAGATAACCTCTTATAGATCAAATTATTTTGAACATCATCACACTATTGTAATTGTAAAATCCACATATCAATATAAGGGAACAATGTGCGAACAATTTCAATTTAGAGATAAGGCTTTCATTTTTTCCCCTTTCTATTAGTTGACAAATGTATACAGTGTTAAGCAAAAATGTCCCTAGCAGCTTTACTTTCTGCAAGACCTATAGGTCTCTGTCCATTAAACATTTTTAGGGACCTCAGTAGCCAAAAATCAGCTTAAATCCTGTTGCTTTATTTGATTTGATTCTATAATGAATTTATATTTCATTTATAAAATACCTGATATTGTGAAAACTGTTGGATTTTGTTCCAATGTGTAGTAAAACCAATATTTATTAAAATGATTTTTTTTGTCCAATATGCTTATGGAGATTGATATAAAAAGCTATGTGTTAACCCTACGAATCATTATGGTTTTTACTTCTTGCCTGGATTGAAAATTGTATAAACTATTCTGTCGCAATTCAAATTAGTTTGGATTGTTTACATTTTAATTTTAAACCCTAACTACACTTAATTAATTTATTTTACAACTTTTGATTACTTAGTTGTTAAGATTGTGAAAAAACATTATGGGCATAATCTGTTATTGCTGTTAATAGCATGTTTATAGATATATTAGCTTAATTTAATTTAAAAAATGATATATTTTATCCACCATTGCAGGCTTAAAAATTAAATCCAAACAACAACTTTTAATTTATTTTCATAGCAGAAAATTTATATTTGCTTGCTCATTATGTTACTCTAAACATAGATAAATGCTTAAATTACCTACTATTATAAACCAGTGCAAATCAGCTAGAAATCTGCTTAGTTAACCCTCCCTACTCGCCCGGCTAATAGTAACACCAGTACTCGCGCGCGGACTCACAGTCTGTTTATACTTCTTACTGGAAATACTCTTTCATATACCTAATAAAGTTTATATAGCATCAAAATTTCAAATAATCTAAATATAGGTAAATAGATATAGATAAATTTCAAAATGAATATGTCTTGTTGAAAACCAATCAGTCAATCGCTGGCCTGTTCTTAATCCTCTTGAAACACGACATGCCTAACTTTACACTTTCGTAGCTAAGGGCCAACTGAGCCTAAGATGGTCAAAACACCGCCATTGTCCTTGGAAAGGTAGTGGGGGAAGGTAGATGCCCCGTCATGTCATTCCCTTGCAGATTCACTTATTTCGGCGCGCTTTTTCAAATGTGCTGACTCTGAATCAGCGGCGCAAGTACAGGTTTACAGGTAGCAGAGGGATGACAGGTTTACAGGAGGTAATTTGTGTATACCATGTACCCTCCTCCAAACTTCTCATAACAAGATGAATATGACTTTTCCTTACTAAAAGATATAGTTTTGATTTGACTTAAGTAGTAGTAAAAGTGTAGCAGATACTCCTGGTATCATGTATCTTAATAAAGTTGTTTTCCATATATTTTTATGCCACATATATTTTTATAGTAAATTTGGTGCAAGATACTTTTGATAGAGTTTAGGTTCCTAAAGAGAACTTTACAGTAGTTATAATTACTATTCATGAAATCTCTTCTCAATTTTCTACTTTATTATAGTAGTTGAAACTAATATTTTCATTATACTGGAGAACTTATTAAACTCTATACACAGTTGTGAAGTAGTAATTTAATAGTCTTTTTTAAACTAGTTGATCTTTCAAACATATTTTGCTACAGCTCTACTTGTTTTGGTCGCTTCCTTAAAATAGTCTAAAATAGTAATTACTGTAGCAATACTTCAAGACCATGAAGTCATTATTGTATGCACTAACATAATATCAGCATAATATGTTAACTACAATTTTACTGTACTTCTGTTTCTATTGTCAATACTACAGGCCTAGTCAAGTGGTACTTTTATTCCTATGTCTGCTGACAGATAACTTATTGTGATGTGATTTGGACCAAGATGTTAGCTGTAAATAATTAAGGTTATAGTTGCACAAAAGTAAATTGAGATATGTTTATCATATGTGTTGTTTGATGCCTTGTATACCAGCCATATACAAGGCTTGGTATTGTCTTCTTGTGAAACCTAAAACTTTCTGTCGTTAAAAGACTTAAGCTTTAATCTTGAGGCAATTCATTTGAGAACTGTTAAAGTGCTTCCTCTTTGTCAATAAACTGTTTAATGCAACTTTGTGTTTAATTTGTTCTTCTGACCATTATACTGCAGCTGGCTGGAAATTGGAGACCATTGAGCTTGTTCAAATCGGAGATATAGTTATTTGTGCAACTAGTGAGCAAAGGGAGCAATTGACTCACTGGAGAGAAATACTTACTTACGAGCCGTAGGCGAGTGAGGAATGGTTTCTCGAGTGAGGCAATTGCACTTTGCACTCGAGTTGCACATTATATTTTTCCTACAGTTACCATAAAACAAATAAATTGGTAAAGAAACGTGACATAATTTTACACAGAAGTGAACTTTTAATATGACATTTAATGTGAAGTGACATTAATACAACAGTACAACAGCTGACCAGCTGATTGCCAGCTGCCAACGTATTTCGCGCGCATACGACCTTGTCTCTCACTATTTCGTGCCTTCATGTTGCAAATCTGGAGTGAGACAAAGTACCTAGAGTGAGACAATGTTAACATTGTCTCACTAATGAGCGAATTGGCCACTTTGCTTTCTCAAATCAGTGAGAGAACATGTACATTGTTAGGTAACTGTAGGAAAAAGGATGTGTTCATTAATTATTCGATTACCACTTTACCTAAGTCTCATTCCTATGCAACGATTAATCATAATCAAAAACTATGTAAGGAAATTTGTAGTCCTTGATTAAATTTCTTTGGTATTGTACAAAGTGTCAGCCATAGTCCATCACCAGTTGAGGAGCTTAAATGGCAAAAACGGTTTCAACATTAAAAATGTGCTTATTTGCTTATTTTATCTATCTACGGTACTTAACACAATGAGGGATTTTTCTGTTACATCCCTTTTCCACCCATCCTAATTAACCGAGTGTTACGATTGATGTGTCATTCGCAAGCTTGTGACCTAGCGTAGGGATGAATCGTAAACAAAGTGTAATTTCCTTAAAGGCTTTGCCCATCTTTCTTTTGATTTATTTCTAGAGTTTGCGTTCAAAGATCCAGTATTGCTGACCCACTTTTATAAAGGTTTAAATGTGAATTGAAATTTAACAGTTGATCATAGATTGGAATGTTTGTTTAACCACAGTCAAAATATGAACAAGAGAAAACCCAGTTTTGAACAAATGGATTCTAAATAGGCTCCTTTGTTCTAATAACTTTAACCTGATTGAGTAAGGTAAATTACTCTTTTTATTGTAGATTTAACATCAAGAATTTGTATTAATTGTAAATTAGCAGTTTTAATCACCCAATGACAATCTTACAGTAAACCACATAATCATTTAAAATTAAAAGGGTATTGCATTGTTTGTTTTGACTTGGAAACCAGTATCGAGTACAATTAAAATGTGCAACTTGTCAGAGAAACCTCCTTGTTTTGAAATGCACGTATTTGTGATACTATTATTATATCATGTATGACTATTTTATCAGTTTGAATACTCGTTAAAGACAACATTAAACTAAATAAATATGTCGTTTAAATGAACATTTGATATAGGCCTACATTTTAACATTTACTCTATCTTTTAATAATATTCAAAATATAATTATGTTACTTGTTTTACATAAAAGTGTCTTTTTTTACATGGAAATAATATCAAGAATTATGTTCACCCACAGGGGGGAGCAAGAGGGTGCACTTGCACCTCCCTGGGTAAACAAATCATGTAATAAATGTAATAGTTGGAATGTTCTTTAATTACTTTTATCAGTTAGAAATTTTTAAAAGTTCATTACATAATTGCAATACAAAAATAGGTATTAAAACATTCCGATTTTTGTTATCCATTGCACCCTCCTGTTCTAAATCCTGGGGGCGCCCAAGACAAGAATTCCATTAAAGAAATTTGAATTAGAACTCATTTCATCTTATGAATGTGAATTGTTATGATTTTCCTCTTGACAAATTGAGCAATACCACGATTACTAAAATTAACAGTGAATGATATAGAAAAAACCTCGGCTAACAGATCCGACAGCAACTAGCAAGCATATGTCATTAACACATACTGTCTGCTATCGTTGGGTTGAATGAAAGAACTGACTTGTGAGGATGAAAGAACACTATGTAAATAAAGTTTGAAACAATGCTTTTGGTGTTGCAGATTTCAATGAAACACTTAAGTGTGAAAACCACAAAGAGGTCTAGACTGACATTGTTGATCTATCTCTGCCTCATCAGTATAATTAGGAATGGAATAGTTTTTCATCATGTCTTTCTTCGTGTTTTTTACTAGTACATTTGAGTGAAGTAGGTGATAAAAAATACAAGATGTGTTTGATGGAAAAAAACTAAGCACACATAGCTTAATCATCCACCCTAATGGGAGGTTTTGTTCATCTTCATGAATTTAAATTATGATTTTGTCTGGTTCCCTTTGAGTAGTCCTATGTCGCCTATTTCTCATTTTACTGTGCTAATCTAATTTAAACTACTAAGCTACTTGTCCTCTGGTTACTTTTTCTTGTGCACACTGTAAAATGTGGCCTAAAATAAGAGGGCATTAATGGAACCTCAAGTGTTACCGGTAGTAGACATTACAAAACTACAACAATCAGATTTTACAACAAAATGAGAAAACTACTTTACCTACGACCATTTAGTTTTAAATTCTACATTCAACTTAGACTACCCCTACAATTCAATACCTAACTTTACCACATTGTTTACTTACTTTGCAGCACTATTGTGGTAAATTGACGGACCAATGGGGTTAAAAAATTGAGAGAAAAGAAGTAAAATTGTAATGCTTCAAACGCCAACAGTAATTCAATTGTTGCTCTGCAACAGTTGCAGGCAGGTTTATTCAATGATGTTTTGATGGCATCAAAATGTGTTCTAACATAATTAAAAAATGGTCGTGGGTGGTGTAAGCCACTTGCGTAATCAGCCTGTACAACACTCGTAGAAATATTTTTTTTTTTTTATTAAAAATCTCTACTTGAGTCGTAAATACTTTCTTTACACGATCGTTCTTAAAAGTCTGTGCTATTGCTTGTTTATATATGCCACGGTCTTAAAACAAAAAATCATTCTTTGTCAATTTTGTATCATCGTTACACAATATATAACTCTTATTTGCTGTTTTCATAAAGTTTATTCTGATCGAGATGTTTAGGTGTTTTTTGTATTTTAACTTAACCTTTGTATGATCATGTTTTTATGTTTAGTGTTATAATCCTTTTAATATTGAACAAATTTAAATCACACCAAATGTTTGTTAAAATCGGAGCCTCTAGGTGAAAATCAAACTATATGTTACCATTTAAACCAATATATTTTATACATATACAGTATGTTACAATATTATGTACAATTGGAATAACAAAAATAAATATTTAACTAGACTTATCCAGTATTTAGAAAAAAATATATAGTCGAATATAGGTACAAATAACGTATTAGTTTATTTGATTTGAACATATATTAGTTTTCACTTATGAAATAAAACTATAGTAGCTTACATTGTATTTTATAATAAAATATAAAATTATAATATCTCATAGTTGTCCCTCAAAGGTTTTATGAGAGAACATCGACTAGAATAACATAACGTTTTTCACCAGACCATATTTAATTAAAACTGCAATTCGTCCTTAAGGTGCAATGCAAAGAGAAGGCTTGAAATATTGGAAGTGCAGTTAATATTTAATTCTTAAAAAATACCTATTAGTGATAGAAATTTGGAAAATGTAGTTAACTTCCTATTAACCGATTCTGTAAAAATATATTAATTATTTCAGTTAAAATGTTACTTACTCCTAAGAAAATTAAAAAATAAGAGAATAATTTCTACCCCACCCAAAAATGTATTTCAGAACAAAAACTATTCCATACAATTGTACAAAACTTTTTTTGTAATTTAATAAACCGTTTATGGATCTAAAGCAATGATGGTAACATATCCCTATACATTATACAATAGGAATTAAAATAAATTGTTTACCAAAATTAAGTTTATGTCAAGTTTTTGGAGTACGCCCATCATTCTTATTTCTAAAATATTAAGCCAATAGATAACGGAATTCAGACATACTCAAGTAAAAAAAAAACCTATTTGATTAGACTTTGAACTCAATACAGCATTTCAATACTATTACTTGGTACGGAAAGTAAATAAAAGAAACGTCTTATAACACTCAAAACATATAGTTACACTTATACTGTTACTCGCAAGACGTTAAATATAAAAAAAAAAAATGGTAAGTGGTGATCGATTTCAATTGGACACTCCAAATATCATGAGACCCAATAAGCAAACATTCGCCTATTGGGTCTGATGATGATTGGAGTGTCGAATCGGAATCTATAACCACTTACCATCTTTTTTTATATTTACTGTCTTGCGAGTAACAGTATATGTTTTAAGTGTTATAAGACGTTTCTTCTATTTACTTTCCATAAATTTAATAACACGTACAATTCTGATCAAGAAGCTATTTATTACTTGGTGAAAATAGTTTCATTCGTGTGACTTGAACATCGACGGTAGGGCAACTAGTTTCAACTCATATCGGGGTCATCGTCAGGTCAGTACTATGCCTTCTGCTCCATTGAAGGCCATCAACTTACACCGTAAATAGAACACACACATGGACATAAAAAATACGAACATTTAAGTGACAATAAACGAGAAATAATACTGGATAAGCGAAATACAACGGACAGAATAATTATTTCTCATTGCCGTTTGGCGTTTATACTTCAATGATCGTACGTTTTATGTCCGTTTGCGAGGTGATACTTATTGTTAGTGTTCATGAACTTACAATGAAGGGAGAAGACGTCTAGTGATGGTCTGATGATGACTCCGATTTGAGTTTAAACTACTGCAACGTCCAAGATCTCACGAATGCATATTTTCAATCATTTATGGTAAAAAATTTCCTTAGATAAGAAATATGTCAGATTTATTTATTTTTTGGGCTAGGTTTGGACGATTTCTTGATGGCTACGTTCTCATTTTATTTCATAGATTGTACAGTCATAGGGCATCTGATCCTAGTGAAAAAAC